CGCGCCGGTCGTCCCATCCTCTGGCAGAACGGCCGGAGTGCGAGATTGACCGAGGGTGAACCAGGTCTCGTACCGTAGCCGATAGTTCGGCCGTCTTCTGAGCCCTCTCAATGACGCCCCTAAGATGGGAACCAAACAGAACATCGGTGGTGATGGGGCCGTCCAGCATCTCCCTTTGCAGATGTTCCGGAATGGAGGGCAGGGCCTTGAGCCAGATCGCTCGCTGGATGAGGGTCTGCCAGGCAGCGATGCGAGCAGAACCGGTGAGCACAGCAGCACACAAATTGAGGATAGCATCAGCAGTCTTAGTAATGACGGCTTTCGACTCCTCGGGGGCTTCCAGCTCCTCCATCATCCTCGAGACGCCGAAGGCAAGGAGGGCGATGTTATTCCCTGCAGCGCCGGTCTGAAAGGCACACTGATGTGCGCGGTCGGTGAGCCGCGTCAGCAGCTGGTCATGTTTTGAAGCGGGAACAGCTCGCGGGCCAGCGAGGTGGTTCTTGGCGCCAAACAGCGAGGCCAAGTCCGGCTCTAGCGGAGGAACGGACGGCCAGCCTTGGTCGGAAAACCCCTCGACCTTGGTGATGGGCGCATAGGTGGAGACTGGCGCCTTGAGCTTGGCAGGCTCGGAGAAGGCGGCAGACCAGCAGCTCATAGCAGCGGGAAAGCGCGGCCAAATAGGGTCTAGACAGCGTGTCTGAGTTGCCCCGAAGATTCCCGCCAAATCATCCGCTTCAGGCGGGGCTGGTTCTGGCACAGCTAGCCCCTTGTGGGCTGCTGCCGCAGAAATGATGGCGGGCAGCTCCTGGATCAGTGCTCTTACTGCTGGCAGGGAGGAGCGAGAAGCCACTGGGGCAGAAGGACCCGCTGGGCGGAGCTCATCGGCCTCCGTTATGTCTAGGAGGGATGCCGCCTCGTCGTAGTTCTCGCTGTCGGTGACGTCATCCAGCCGGTTGAAGCCAGCCGGCCCCTGACCGGCGTCGAAGAAATCCAACGCCTTGTCCAGCGGGTACGAGTCAGCCACCGGAAATTCTTCGTCGGCGGCGGGAGTGAAGTACTCGACCCGGCGAATCTTCTCTGCCACGGGCAGAGCGGCACAGAACGGGCACGAGGCCTGCGGGGTCAAGGCCAGGCCAGCGTGGTGAGACCCGAGACAGACCTCACACTTAGCGTGCAGGTCTCCGCTGGAAATGGAGCCCGACTGGCAGGTCGGGCAGGGTCTGGCGTCGCTGGACATGGCTGGTAAGTCTTCTCGGATAATCTTGCTCTTTCTGGATAAATTTGCTCTTTAAGAAGCTCTCAGCTTGGCATGAAGAGAAAAAGGAGGCGAGCAGTGGGGTCACTGCGGTTATATACCACGAGGGGGCCCACTATTGGTGGGCGTACATTTAAGCTCTTCATGATTGGCTGATTCGGAGATCATCCTTCCAATAGCAGCTCGCTTAAGGGCTAAGACTAGACGAAATAGAACCTGCTGTATCAAGACTACTCAGTCAGTGGGAGGAGCTAAAGCTCCATTTTAGTCTGACCAAGACAAGCGAGCATTGCTACATGGCAGACGTTTTGCATTCAATGTATGCTGACCCACAGAACCTACTGTAATTGACCTACCTGAAATCAATCCTTGGTGAGGTGCAGGCTGCAGTGAAGGCCTTTGAGGGAGAGCAAACAGATCCTCTCAAGCTCCTGGACTGTTTAATTCTACTAATTAAATCTGTGTGCAGCAGAGTTCTTCATCCTGGGGCTACAATTGACATCCTGAAAGACCCAATAGAGAACCACATCTCACCCAGGCCGTATCTTGGCTTTGCATTTGAGTCCAAAACAGCAGAGCTTACCATCTCCCCTGAGGATGAGGACTGTGTGAGACGGAGGTGTATTAGTTACACCGTTGCCCTACCCAATGAGCTTCGAGCAAGACCTCCGGACAGTCTGGAAATTCTTCAGCACATGTCATTGTTCAGCGTCGGAGAGACCCTGAAACAAAACAAGAACCCAGATGACATGGCAAAGCTGATGGTCTTATTAGGATATGATCCTGAAACAACTGACCGCATAATTAATCAGTGGAGAAGTGTCCATTTTCAGAGATGGGAGGAAACAGCCAACACCACTGGGTTCTGGTTTGAGGTCAAAAAGCACAGGGATGCAGCAGGCCTTAACCCATTTGAAGAGTTGGCGTCTGCAGCAGTTGCAGTTCTTTCGCTGCCTCACTCAAATGCTGCAGTAGAAAGACTCTTCAGCCAAATGGGTGTCATTAAAAACAAATTAAGAAGCCGCATGTCCCTCCAAACTCTCACCTCCATCCTCCACATAAGATATGGCTTAAGACTAGCTGGGAACACGTGTTATGAGCACAAGTTGCCAGATAAGGTGCTAAATCTCTTTGGCACGTCTGCTGCCTACTCTTTTAAAGCAGACAGTTGTCCAGGTCCAAGCATGCAGTCATCCAGCACTGCTTCTCAGAGGGAAAGCACTGATAGTGCTTGTATAGAGGACATGGAGTTCTGCCTCAGGGCCCTCGACGATCTAGAGTAAGCAGATTTTTAAAAAACATTAACATTAGTTGACTTTGTAAAAATTTGTCAATAGTTTATGTGATTTGTTAATAAAAAAATAAATTGGAACTCCAATTAAAAAAAACTCTGTTAATATTGTAAATAAGTCAATAGTTCATGTGATTGGCCTTTAAAGCAAGCTGTATAATAGCTAATTTATTGCAAGTAAAAAATATCAACTGGAACTACAATAAAAAAATCCTTTTTGTTAATACTGTAAATATGTCAATAGTTCATGTGGTTGGCCTTTAAATAAATATGTTAAATAGTTAATCTATTGTTAATAAAACATCTGAACTGAAACTAATAGATAAAACTGTTTCATTGTTGTTAATAGTGTAAATATTGAAATAGTTACAGCTTTGCAGGGTGATGATAAGTGTTCTTACCTTTTGAGTTTGTGTTCATATTCGCTGGGGCGAGGTAGTCGTCGTGAGTAGCTTTGTTAGCTTTGTTGTTAGCTTTAGCCATTTTCTTCTTCCTTTGTTGACTCACACACACTTTACGTTTTGCTGAAACCCCTTCGTCTGGTTGTGAAGGGTGATATAATATGACCAGTGAGTTTTTTTCTCTCGCATGCAAATAGTTTATTAACAAGTTCATTATTTAAGATAGCCACCGGAGCTAGATAAAGGGCAACCACTCCTTCCGCCATCCTGCCGCATTTCGGCAGCTGAGCTCAGCTGGCACTGGTAGGCTGACCGCAGGGCAGCGTCGCTATCGCACATGGCTGCTGGCTTCTCGCACCCATGTCGATGCTCGCACCACTTGTGGTGCGATCAAGGAACATTGGAACTCTATGATGAGTTCATAAACATTGCACATTTTAAACTTTTATAAAAAGTTGCTGTTTTGTATTCTATGGGTTTTTCATTTTAATAAAATATTAAAAAATAAATTTAATACATTTTTTATAAAATCACGTGGGTTTTATTTGATTGATTTACTCTACAAGACCGGTGACGTCACGACGCAGACGTGGTGACGTCATCACGTCTTATGCAAATGAGCACGTGACGTCATCTGGTGACATCTAACGTCTTTCGGGGGGAACTTCAGCTACTTTCAGTCAAAAACAGTTGGCAACACTGGTCACGCGCCTCACTCGGCTTACTGCAGAAACATGGAGCAACAAAACCCCAAATTACCGATTCCTCGACTGCCTTCCACATCTCAAAAAACATTTAAAAAGTTTAAAAGCCCTTCTTCAAAAGTGGCTGTAAGACGTTTGAGACAGTTGAGTAGAATTTACATTGGGGATTGTTTTAAACGATGGAGAGATTTTCGTGATCTACACGGCGTCACGGCCTGAAAACGGATGAAGAGTTGGCGAAGTATCTTTTGGACAGGTAAGTTATTTATTGTTTTTCGGATGCATTTACTTCAAATCTTTCTTTCACTGAAAGAAGTAATAGAGCAAACCAGCTTTGTAAGCTTGGTGTCCTATTGGCTAATGTAGCATTAGCTTGAATGCTAAGTCAACATGAATCGATGCTAGTCGAACTAGTTATGCTATATTTGGAATATGTTTGAGTAACGAAAGGGGATTTTAGTTTTATTTGTATGGGAGTTAATGAGTAGTGTGGCGTTTAACTATAGGCCATATCAGTGTATTGTTTTAAGCTCTTGTTTATAACTTCCCCGTTAGCGGGGTTCAGTTAGCATCTTGAATGCTGAATTAGATGTTTACACTTTCCTGAGCTGCGTGTTTGATTAAAATGAGTAATCAGCAGCTCATGTAGTACTTGTAGAAGTCTGAGGAGATGATTCAGCAGTTAGAATTAGGTGTGATTGATCAGGAACGTATCCAAAACCTTACGTTTCCATTAGCACCGAAAGACATATTGTGCTAACCTGGGTGAGCCACGTGTACAGATTACTGTCTGATTTTGTGGTTATACCTACGTGAAAACTCCATATTAAAATAAAAGGAATGATAATCAGCTCGTGCAGAAATCTGTGAAGGCTGGAGAGACTTGTTTAGCTTGTGATCACTAATTTTTGGGCTTTGTTTTTTTACAGTCATCAGTCCAAATATGAAGCATCAACATCTACACCATTGAAACGCCAACTGTTTATTTCTCCAACACCAGTGCCAGCTTTGTCGAGCATTCATGGTGAATCATCTGAAAGGTAAATAGCTGCCTATAAACCTCTACCAGGAATATTATAATTTTGCCTCTGTTTTAAGTTAGTGGTGGATTATTTTGAAACAATTCTAGAAATGGGATAATGAATGACTATAAAAAATGTATAGAAATAAATAGTAAAACTACATTTTATATAGCGCCTCTCAAGATAAAACTCCTGAGGCGCTTCACAACAACAGAATTAAAAATATTTTAAAAATATATATTTTTATTTCAAAGTTTGAGAAAAAAATAACACAATTGTGTTTTTAAAATGTAAAGAGAGAGACAGGCAATTATTTGTAAAGAAGGAATTCAGTGGATACAGAGAAATGCGTAATAAGTAGAGGGAGAAAAATAAGAAGAGGGTGATGATGACGGCCAATAGACGAGCTCTATTACCTTCAAAATGACAAAATATGTATTGATTCTAATCATATTCTTGTGCTTGTATTTTATTTTCATAGGGATGATAATTTGGAGGAGGTGATGGAACAAGGTGAAACTAAAATGAAGGATCTTCACAAATGTAAGTACAAGGTTGTATCTGTATACGGCTGTCACATTTGTCAGGAAAAGAAAACAATAATTACTTTTTTAGGTTATCTTGTGTGGGAATTGAAGCAATCATTGACAAGGAAGAGTTCAACAATATTCAAATCTCTGTGTAAGTATTCAGATGTTAATAAAATGTGTCTAATTTTCCATACTAAAAACTTTATATTGTGTATATTCAGGATAGAGTCATCAGATGACACATGGTCACCAAACAGAGAACCAGAAGTTGATTCGTCTTCAGAGGAGGACGAAACCATCAAGATGGACAGCGGTACTGATGACAGCGGTGATGAGGACTACACACCTTATATACACATAAGGTAATTCCTTTCATTTAACATTCTATAAAACTGCAGTAGCGCATAGTTAATAAAAAGCTTTTGTTCACAGGACTGGAGCAGCATTACAAAAAACATTACAACTTGAGACTCTGCAAGAAATTAACATAGAGGATACAGTTCATGACTGTAATATCCCAGAAGCAACTGACCAACGTTTGACGAGCAAGAAAGGTCTTCCTCGACGCTACAAGCTAAGGCCTGAGGATCCAAGGCGTTATGGTTTGCTGTCCGGAGTTCCTGCACCATCAACAGAGGAACTTCTACAACACCTACGGACTTGCGGTGATGGTAAAATAAAACATTATCTGCCTTACATCTTCCACACAATAGTCCATTGCTAATTGAGTTTATTTTTTATTTACAGGTAAACTTTGACATAGGTGTTGGGGGAGGCAAGAGAAAACCCCAAACCTTCTTTATTTTTGTTTCCTGTGTTTTTTTTTTTTTTTTTTTGAAAATAAAGATATATTTTGGGGAAATAAGGACTAATAATTTCAAAATTTATGTAAAATGTTGGAGGTAGACATAATTTTTTGTTGTTGTGCAGGAGTTTTAAAATTTATGGTATTTTTACAAATACAAAACAAAGTTATGCTTTAGACCTCTTTATTAGAGCATCAAACAAAAATATCTAAAAACAAACTCATGTAAAATATCAAATATATACATTTATTTACAATCGTCTTGGAATAAAACCAGTGTAGTTACCATTGGGGTCAGGGAATTTTGCAGAATAAACTCCTCCATGTGTGGTACAGTTGAAATACATGTCTGGGGAGGCTGTTGGCAGCATTTCTTTTCCAAATCAGTTGGCATATCTCTGCAGTGGGAGCATACACACCATGAAGGTTGATTGGGTGTTGGAGGTGTTGTGGCAGGTGGACCAGAGAGGGCAAGTACATCAAAGAGAACACCAGGGTCTCTGTCCAGCACCATGGTAAGGATGTCAATAGCCTGCTGAGGGTTCAGGTTCTGTATGTGTTGCTACAAAAGTGGAAAGAGATGCTACAGCAACAGTTTTTAGGATAATTTAGTGTAATTTTGTTATGCTTACACGTTCAAAGTCTATTCGCTCGGAACAAAGATTCTGAACTCGAGAGAGATCTTCATCTCCAAGGTCCACAGCTGAGTTTCTCACACTTCTTCGGCCTCTGGATGCACCGCGGCCTCTGGATGCACCACGGCCTCTGGATGCACCGCGGCCTCTGGACACACCACGGCTTTGAGATGATGGTGGGCATCTCCTTTTTGCACCACGTCTTGAGGATGCAATAGAAGGTTCAAACTCTTCCTCAGAGGACTCCTCTATCACTGAACTCTAAATTGTATTAGAATAAAAAAAATTATACTAATATAAAAAGTACTCTTGCATATTAATCAATTTTGACACAGATCAGGTTTACATCTAGTCAAAATTTGGGCTAAATCAACAATAAACAGAAACTATGAAAACAACCATGAATATAGAAGGACTACACAGAATGCAGTGTTTATTCATGATTTCCACATAAATTATTTATATGCTTTGATATATTCATCCCATCTTGAATGGCAAAGCAATTAAAAATAAGCTAGTTACTTGTAATAAAATGCTAACAATTTGATAGGATTAATTTTATTTACAATATAGATTGCCAACTGTTACTGGTATTTTAAAATATAAATATATTTATAGATATTCTTTATAAAATGCCTTTTGTAAACAGTAAGTGTTTAATGTGCTGGTTAAATACAACTTTCTTACCTCAGATAACTCCATTGCTAACACTAGCTCAGCTCTATTACAAGAAGCAATGCTCCGATGTTGACTCTGCTTTTCCTGCACGTGCACATTGGGAGGCGTGGCTTTCGGCTTTTTCTGGAAGGGCGGGGGAGTGAGCAACTGCCGTTCGAATTTAAAAATCTCCTCCTCCTCACCCTGACGGCATCATCCTGCGGACTGTGCCTTTAACTGAACTTATTACTTCATGAATGTATTGCATGCACACCCCGTAAGGAGGCGAAAAACCCTGTCCACTGTACTTAAACGGGAAAATTCCTCCATGTCCTCCCTTTTTGGGACGAACGCCGCAGCACAGAGCGGGCATGCGAGACTAATATCCTCATCAATGGTCAAAAGAAAGAACAACAAAAGCTCATGAAAATAAACAGGTGATCGGGGATTGTGACAAAGTCACTGAACATCATCACACTGTAACATCATTGGGCTCATACAGGTGTTAATTTAAGAAGGAGTATGGACTAACAAGGCAATCGGTGTAATCTGTGCCAGAGAACGCACTATATGCTAAAATTGCTATCGTTATTAAATCTTCTGGATTGGAGAAATTGCGATAGTATCTGTCGGTCCACAGCCCCAGCCTGCTGTCCCTGTATACCAGCCGATTCAGTCTACTTGGATACCAAGCTGTTGGAAAGGATTCTCGTTGGACTATGTTACCCTCAGGATCTTCTTCCGGCCAGGACAGGTGAGTGATCAATATAAACATTAAGAATTAAGTTTTAGAAATGCAATGAGTGTGAAAACATATCTCAACTGAACAGGTAAATGAATAATAGTATAGAATGATTGGTGGGTGTTAAACGAACCCTTTTAGAATAACTGAAGGGTGTTAAATATAACCCTTGTAGAATAACTGAAGGGTGTTAAATATAACCCTTGTAGAATAACTGCAGGGTGGTTTCTTCTTCCCCCTGTTGAGATCCCTCCACTGGCTCCAGGCAGCTGCAGGGGGTGATGATGTCACGATTCTCGTCCCGCTGGATGAGGTGGTAGCTTGGCACGCTACCGCGTCCTGCAGAAGTGGTAGCTTGGCACGCTACCACTGTCAGCTACTTCTCTTCCTGGTCCGTAGGTCCTTTTTCCTGGTCAGGCAGATGTCAGCTGCTTCTCTTCTTGGTCCGTAGGTCCTTTTTCCTGGTCAGGATCCTCCTTTTGTGACAGGTTCTCGTGGACCTCGGTCAGAGTGCGGTGGGGCTCTTCCGTTGCAGCACACTGGGTCCAATGGTACCAGGAGTCTCCTTTGCCGTCCAGCCGGACAGCGTGTGACGTCCTCTCCGTGATCCTGTAGGGTCCGGTCCACCTTGGTGCCGTCCACTTTCTTTTGGTGACCTTTAGTAGGACCCAGTCTGTCCCAGGTTGTGGAGATGGGGCGTCTGTGGTGGTACGGTCAGCCTCAACCTGTAACGAGAACTGAGAAACAAGACTATGCAACAAGTTATAATATGGCCTTGGATCAAGGGAGTCAGTCAGGTCGGCAGTCAAAGGTAATTTTGTGGCAGGTCCCGGAAAAGGTCGTCCAGTCTGTAGTTCAAAGGGGGTAAACCTTGTGGTTTTGTTAACCGAGCTCCGTATGGACATCAGGGCGGGAGGCAAAGCTTCTAACCAAGTTAATTTGGTCTGTGCACAGATTTTAGCCAATTTGACTTTTAGCATTTGATTCATCCTCTCCACTTTCCCCTGGGATTGGGGATGGTACACTGAACCAAACTTGTGTTTCAGACCCAGCATGGTTTCAACCTCTTGTAAATCTTTGTTCTTGAAATGTGACCCATTGTCTGATCTGATTTTTTTCTGGGAACCCATGTTGGGGAATATAATGATTAATCAAACATTTGGTAACTGTTTTGCTGTCTTCTTTTTTCGCAGGCCAAGCCTCTGGCCATCCAGTATAGGCATCTACACACACTAGGAGATACCTATAGCCTTTTACCCTGTCAATCATGTCTGTGAAATCTATGATTATCTCTTTTCCAGGGCATGTTGGTATTGGAAATTGACCTTGGATTGGTTTCAGGGTAGGTTTGATGCCAAACTGAGTACACTCTGTACAGGTTTTGACTAAATATTTGGCCATGTCTGTTAGGTATTGATGCCACCAGGGGGACAAATTCCTCACCATCTGTGCTACACCAACATGTCCCACTCCGTGTGCTTCTTCCATTGCCAATTGTCTAATGCCAGGTGGCAGTATGGATCTACCATCTGGCCCTCTCCAAACATCCGTGTTGGTTGCGCCCCTTGCCAACCACAAAGTTTTTTCTTGTGGCGAGGCTTGATCTTGCATGTCCTTGAGAGTCTTTTTTGTGATGGAAATCTTAGGGTCAATGCTTTTCTCAACAGTTACTGTCTCAACCACTAGATTATGTATAGGGAGATATTCAGCTGTTAACTTGGCTGCCCTGTCTGCTTCTTGGTTTCCTCTAGACACAAAGTCAGAGCCCTGGCTATATCCTTTGCATTTTATTACTGCCACTTCTGCTGGAAGGAATAGAGCTTCTGCTAGTTCCCTCATTTCGGATTCATGTTTTATTGGTTTCACCCCAGCTGTCACAAAGCCAGCTCTCAACCATTGTTTAAGTTCCACGTGCACGGCTCCTACGGCATAGGCTGAGTCACTGTAAATATTTACCTTTTTTCCTGTGCTCATTTTGAGAGCTGCAATGATAGCCAATATTTCTGCTCTTTGTGCTTACTGTTGTCCTTTTAGTTTTTCAGCTCCTGCAGTGGACCATTCGCCTGTAGGGAGTTCCTCTACTACAGCCCAAGCAGCTTTTAACTCGTCATTGTCATCCCTATGGCAACAGCCGTCCGTAAACCAGTTCTTATCAGGGTTTTCTAGTGGGATTGCACTTAAATCTGGTCTGACCTTTTCTTCTATTGCTGTTCTTTGTTCGCACGAATGGGGTTCCCCAGTCCCCATGTGGTCTGCCATGTTTATTCCTTCATGTGTGTAGGTGATGTGTGGGGCCTCTAATATCTTACTGATTTTTCTTTGTCTCAGCGGGGTCATGGTGAAAGCTTGTGATGTGATATAAGCTACTACACTGTGTGTTGTCAGTACTTTCAGCGGGTAGCCCATTACTATGTGTGCTGTTTTCTGTAAAAATTTTGTAAGACCTGCTACATGTTGGGTGCAGGGTGGGTGTCTTTTTTCCGTGTTGTCTAGCATGACACTTATGTACATCAAGACTTGTCTCTGACCTCCCCCTTTTTTCTGGAACAGAACTCCATTAACATGAGTTTTTGATCCAGAAACATCAAGGAAAAACGTAGATTTGTAGTCGGCCGTTGCCAAATCACTGGCCGTGGACAGTTGTTGCTTAAGTTTTATGAATGCTTCTTCTGCTGGAATAGTCCATTCCAGGTGAGCAGTAAGTTGACGCATCCCAAAGGGTGCTATAAGAGCACGTAGTGGGGCAGTGAGACCGACATAGTTGGGGATCTACTGTCTACTGTAGCCTGTCAGGTCTAGAAAGGATAACATGTCTTTGACTGTTTCAGGTTTAGAATGGTGAAGTATAGAGTTTCTATGATCTGGTGACAATGAAACGCCAACTTGTGAGATCATTCTGCCCAGGAACGATACTTGTTTTCTGGCTAC